ACAATGTATATACAATTACAAATGATTATATATAAATCGTCAGTTTGTTGTTTTACACAAATGCACACAGACATTATTTCATACACAGCATAGTCGTGAGATGCAAGAGACATAGACATATGGCAAGAAATATGTACACGCGCCCATAACAACAAAAGACAACTTTATTGAACCTTTTCTGATAAGAAGTGTGCGCTGCAAACGCAACTCCAGAAAGGTGTACAATATGTGACCTTTAAGGCAGAAGAAAGTATATTTTTAGGACCATTAAAACCCTGGCTCCCAATTTTTAAATGGAAAAAAAAATATTTATACACTATATTTGAATTGACTATATGGTTTAACCCTCTTGTAGAGAATGGATGGATGTCCTCAGCCCTCCAATAGTTCATCCAAATCAACAGATGGCAGATGGGAAAGGAGACCACGGCAAGGTCTCACCTAGAGGTATGACACCAGAAAAATCCCCATCCTGGGCTCATATTCTCAACCCTTTGTTGCTTAAAATAAATCATGATCTAGTTTTCTCTTGGATGGAGAAGAACTGGTACAATTACATTCATGATTGATTTTTCCTACTTCATCTAAAACCCACAGTGATATTTCTGTGACAAGATTCTTAAACTGTAGGCGAGATGGGGGCAAGTTATCAGGGTTTTCAAGATATTGAGTATTTCTAAAGGCAGATTTATTTTTTAAAGTCTTTGTTAGAAAACATATTAACTGTTACTGCAAGATTCTATGAACAGTTTATGGGGTAAATTGTCACTATGCGAAATGCAAACTTTCGGTTAAATTGCCAATTAGAAGCTACTGAATGGCTTTTACTGAAATCAGTTTTGAAACACAAAACAATTGCAATATATATATATATATATATATATATATATATATATATATCATAACTTTTTTCTCTATGCTATCCAGTATCCACAGGGTCTACGTTGCACAACATCAGTGGAGAAGAAGAGTTTCTCAATTTAATGTATGATCCCTGCCTCAACTGTTACTTTGATCCACAATCTGGGAAATATTACGAACTGCTCTGATTCCGAGATGAGTTACATCTACAACCATGTT